GGAGTAATTTGCTTCCTCATTAATTTTTGTGAGTTCGGGCCAAGGTGTGTGCCAAAATAATATGTTTATCACACCTATAATGTGAACAGATACTGATACTGATACTGATACGGGCTAAAGACAATGTGGTATCGGCACATTTAGATCGGGTATTTGTATAGAGGTATTCCAAAATGACATTCTGATAATCAACATTTTGTTCTGTTATCATAATTATGTATATACGCATAATACAACTGATCTTTATGATTTCTTAACGTGACATAGCTTCTTCTCCCCCTGCAATAAAAAAGAAAACAAGGTTATTTAATAAAAGGATCATGCGACAAAATGATCATTGTGATTCAAATTGATGCAAGGATTTTTTTTGTATAAGCATGGACCTATTACGTAATAGGTCCATGGTATAAGCAATGCTTTTCACCAGAATCTTCTTTGTAAAAACGACTTTTACAAATCTCAGCCATGCAATTCTGCCACTGTGTTGTAAGATCACTTTCATATTAGGAGAAGTGTATTCTTTAATGAGTATTTTAAATTGAATGGAACGTCTCAACTCAGTAAGCATTGCTGAGATTTGTAAAAGTTGTTTTTACAAAGAAGATTCTGGTGAATAGCAATTAAGTTATTCAAGCAAAATATTCGCATCAGAATCACAATAATTATTTGTCGCTTAATCCCTTTTAATGACCTTGTTTTCTTTCTCGTTTGCAAGGGGAGAAGAAGATATGTCACGTTAAAGACATCATAAATATCAGTGTTGTATGCGTATATATTATATACACAGGCCCCGCGGAACATCAAAGTGGGGGGGGGGGGGCTAAAGTATTTACGATCAGGTAGAGGGTAGCGAGCGTAAATTGGTGTGGGGTGTTCAGGGGGCGGAGCCCCAGGAAGCTCAGGGGTTTTAGGCATTTAATTACGGTCAGAGAAGCACAAATATTTTGATGCCGCATTTGTGTCACTGGCAGGTCGGGGGGGGGGGGCGTTTTTCTTTTTGTTTTTTTTAAAGATAAAATTTACGTTACTATCCTAATTGTTACCGGTTTGGGAGGCTAGGGGGGGGCCGGGCCGGTAGAATCGGCCCGTGGATCCGCGCCTGTTGTTTAATAAAAGAAAAAAGAAGGAACATTTGATTTAGAAGAGTTAACAATTTCGGTAAATGCCAACAGTCTGTTTCTTGAAGAAAAGTGCCAAGTGCTTGTAAACAGGTATTTTACTGGATGTTTAATTTCCATGCTGACACCAACCCTAATCCGTTAATGGTCATCATGGGCAACAAAATTAATGTCATAATAGCCTTGGACAATGTTTATATATGTCTACAACTGTCATGTTTATATCACTATCAATGTTATATGTAGAGAGCAGCCTTTTTGAGGAGTCTAGATTGAACCTCAATAAATTGAAGACATACCTTTCACATCTCTCTCAAAAGTCTGGCATTTCTTTGTAAAGTGTGGCTTGTATGCGCGAATGCTATTATACAACAAAAAACAAGGTTACTTGTTCTCTATAGCCTGAACTCACTGGCGTACTGGTGGGGGGGCTAGGGGGGGGGGCGCCAGCCCCCCCTAATAAAATTGAATCATGACTTATTTTCAATTCCATATAGAAGTGATGTATAAATGTTCGTGATATCACATTCTGTTGCAAACTGACACATTCCCAAATGGCCAGGAAGAGCATATGTTTTGTTATAGACACTAAGGGGCCGTGGCCACTAACAGTAACACTAGTAAAAAAAAAATCCTTCCAGAAGCAACTGTGACAAGCACTGCCGGGCGTTCCATACTTACATCATGTAACACTGCACATGTACCCAGTGGCGGATCTAGCCGGCGGGAAGAGGGGGGGGGGGGGCCCAATCCGTGAGAAAATATTAGTTGCAACTCTTTTTTGATGTTGTTGACCCGTCAGCCCCCCCCCCTCCGTGGATCCACGCCTGCAGAGGAGCCAGTCGTCGACAAGGGGGGGGGTGGGGGAGGGGGAGCCAAATCTTAATACAAAATTTAGCGCCGACTCAGCCGGCCAGCGAATAAGCGGGGGGGGGGGGGGAGCGCTTCTTTTTTTTCTTTTTTTGATCGAGTATTTGAGGAAAAATTTAGCACCGAATCAGCCGGTCAGTGAATAATTTTTTTTTTTGGGGGGGGGGAGGGGCGCTTTTGTTTTTGTTTTAAAAAAGGTTAACTTTACGTTATTATCCTATTTTTTTAATCTTTTTTGGGGGGGGGGACTGAATTCAGACAAGAACACGATACAACGAATCGTCTTCTTTCTCTGATAATTTAATGAAACGTGAAAGCTCCCGCGCTTCGCGCGGGATGGGCGAATATGAATTCAGACAAGGATTAAGAGTAATAGTTTAATGAAACGTCAGAGTTTCCGCGCTGCGCGCGAGATGGGCGAAAATGAATTCAGACAAGGATTAAGAGTCGGAACCGGTACAATGAATCGTCTTCTTTCTCTAATAATTTAATGAAGTGTCTAAGCTTCCGCGCTTTGCGCGGGATGGGCGAAGATGAATTCAGACAAGGATTAAGAGTAATAATTTATTAAGACGTCAAAGCTTCCGCGCTTCGCGCGAGATGGGCGAAAATGAATTCAGACAAGGATTAAGAGTAATAGTTTAATGAAACGTTAGAGTTTCCGCGCTTCACGCGAGATGGGCGAAAATGAATTCAGACAAGGATTAAGAGTCGGAACCGGTACAATGAATCGTCTTCTTTCTCTAATAATTTAATGAAGTGTCAAAGCTTCCGCGCTTCGCGCGAGATGGGCGAAAATGATTTCAGACAAGGATTAAGAGTCGGAACCGGTACAATGAATCGTCTTCTTTCTCTAATAATTTAATGAAGTGTCTAAGCTTCCGCGATTCGCGCGGGAGGGGAAAACTAAATTCAGATAATAACACGATACAACGAATCGTCTTCTTTCTCTAATAATTTAATGAAACGTGGAAGCTTCCGCGCTTCGCGCGGGATGGGCGAAAATGAATTCAGACAAGGATTAAGAGTAATAATTTATTAAGACGTCAAAGCTTCCGCGCTTCGCGCGAGATGGGCGAAAATGAATTCAGACAAGGATTAAGAGTAATAATTTATTGAAACGTGAAAACTACCGCGCTTCGCGCGGTAGGGGGGGGGGGACTGGATCCAAACAAGAATTAAGAGTCGAGAACGGTACAACGGATCGTCTTCTTTCTCTAATATTTAATGAAGTGTCAAAGTTTCCGCGCTTCGCGCGGGAGGGGGGAGATAGAAAAATAACTTAGTTCCTGGCCCCGGGTTTATAGGGTTAAATTTGTAGACATTTGGATATTGGCTATAATATATTTGTCGGTAATTGGTTGCTCGTTTTGTCGGTAATTGGTGGCCTCTACTCCCCTCCCCACTCCCCCATTGACAAAGATCTAGCGACGCCCCTGATAACGACACAGTTTATACACTCGAGAAATGTTTGCAAATACTACTGATGAAGTACCGGACCATCGTGTTTGTGCATTGTGCGGCATCAATTAAAGCATATACAGTTGCTCATAACGGTGGAATATTTTTTTTTATCCCAATTTATGGAATTATTTTAAAAATAATTTAAAAATACTAGATCTAGATATATAGTATACAGTCTCAGATTGTATTGAATAAATTTGACAATATGTGTTTTGCGTGACTGCTAAAGCATGTATATTATGCTACTATGTTTATCAACCAGGGGACCTATGCCCTTAAGTCATAAATGACAGTAATGAGGATTAATGCCTCACAAAAGGGCACTAATATAGCACATCGACACGGTGTTGATCCTGGGGCCTCACAGTTACGAGGCCATTGCTTTGTCACTGAACCATGACTGTACGCAGGGGGCTAGGGTAGGGGGCAGTTTCCATAAATTAAAAAAAGAAAAGAAAATGCAATAAATTTTCAATAATTTATTGCATTCTACCCGGTCCCCAACATAAAAAAATCTTCTGTGTGCCCATGCCTTGAGCCATAATGCATGGCCGTCCAGAGTATTTTTTTATGTTGGGGACCGGGGTAAAATGCAATAAATTATTGGAATATTTATTGCATTTTCTGTGTTTTTTTTAATTTATGAAACTGCCCCCTACCCTAGCCCCCGCTGCGTACAGTCATGGTTCAGTGACAAAGCAATGGCCTCGTAACTGTGAGGCCGAGGATCAACACCATGTCGATGTGCTACATTAGTGCCCTTTTGTGAGGCATTAATCCTCATTACTGTCATTTATGACTTAAGGGCATAGGTCCCCTAGTTGATAAACATAGTAGCATAATATACATGCTTTAGCAGTCACGCAAAACACATATTGGCAAATTATTATTCAATAAAATCTGAGACTGTATACTTTTATCTAGATCTAGTATTTTAAATTATTTTTAAAATAATTCCATAAATTGGGATAAAAAAAAATATTCCACCGTTATGAGCAACAGTGTACAACGTCTCAAGACGTGACAGATCACTTTCTCTAACTTCTAACCAATCAGAAGGCCTCGTTTTTTCTCCAAGAAGTGCTGGTGGACATTATGCGCCAAATGTGGTTCTCAAATTGCAAAAGATCCCTACTATTGGAAGGGGTAGGAGAAAGCAATTTTACGTCATATTGCTCCAGGAAGTGCCTGAAAATGCGTCTAATTGGCTCTAAAATTGCAAATGCTTCTTACTCTGGGAGGGGGCCAGAACCCCCTCCCAGACCCACCCCCGCTTGGTCGCTCCGCTCCCTCGCCGCTAAAGCCCTGTTCTGTCGCTTCATCGTTTTTCATATATTTAACCCCATGCCATTTTATGCCCCCCCCCCGGTAAGAAATTCCTGGATTTGCCACTGATGCCCATACCCCTTGAGCTTCGGGGGCTCCGCCCCCCTTGACCCCCGCCGGGGCTTTGCCCCTCGACCCCACTTTGCGAAACGTTCAGCGGAGCCTGCATGTTAGAGTGGGGTGCTGCGGATTTTTTTTTTTGTCAGCCCCCCCAAACGTTTTTGCTCATTACGCCACTGCCTGAACTAAATATCTTGTGTGCACAGAGCATGACTGATACATTTCTTCGATTATGAGCATTTAGCTCCAAACCTTTGGATATGCTATAGGCCTATTTATTCCTCAAAAGATCCGGAGGTTTTGTTCATTGCATCCAGAAAACATCAGGTTCTCGCTTTTGTGTTCATGATCTTCTCGATATGGCGTCAGAACGGTCAAAACGAATAGCAGAGGTAAGTATCAAGAAGCTTCTTCAACATTATTAACTCTCTATTTCACAAGAGCCAGTGAAATAGTGCTAGCCACTATAGATTAAGTCAATATTTTCCTTCCAAAGTATGTATTATCTGTGAAGCACTTAGATCTTTAAGAGGACAACCTGGTAACCTGACAGTCTCTGAATCCTCAGAGCACACGTCAATTTTAGAAAATTTCATCATGCGCTGAAGTTTGTCATCGCCATCAAAGTCCTGTGAGTTAGATCCGTTACCTACTTGGTTGATAGGGAAGAATCTTGATCTCTGTTATAACAAATATAATTAATTTGTCTTTGGAAGTCGGTACCTTTCCAATCGTTTTAAGAATGCCGGCACAGTTAGACCTCTGATAAAGAAATCCTCATTACATCCTGAAGATCTGAAGAATTATCTCGAAAAGGGCCAAGTATAATGCTTAGTTTTTTAATTGCTTGTCACTACCACACAAACTAAGCACACCTTGTCATTCGAAAGATTTTATCATAATACACAATATTTCAGAGGTGTTTTTTTTTTTTTTTTGTAGTGTACACCCCTAAATCGGATTTTGTGAATAATATTTTAAGAAAACCTTAAACCACTATGAATGTGGTGACACATGAAATAGAATTAAATTATCCATATTTTGATACCAATTTAAACAGAATTGGGTTAATGGATATCGAACATTAAGTAAAACCCATATTTTTGTGATTTGTTTTCGAAATATCGTATTTTATCAAAAACCGTTATTTTCCATAATTGTGTCATAAACTTTTTAGGAATTTGCCCATGTACACGGACAATATCCTGTGCACAGGAGAGGCTTATGTCTCTTTTCAGTGAAAAATTATAGCAACCAAAGTTTTTGATTTGATTTCCAGAAAGAAAGAAAAAAAAGAAAAAATTGCCCCCATGTCTATTAACTGTATTACTTTTATTATTGCATTGATGACGTGTTTGGTGTGTTTACATCGAGTTTTAAAGATAAGTTTTAAATAAAATCTCTAATCACCCATGGATATGGTGTCAAAAGATGGATACTTAAAATACCTTCAAGTTGATATCAATTTCATTGAGTTATGTAGTGGGTGAAATACCAATTTTGAGCCAAAAAGGTGCTTAATTTTTTGTAAATATTTTCCCCCTCTAATTTGACCAGTATCTCGGTATATTAACTGGACAAAAGTGATTGGACATTTAGTAGTGGAGAAAGTTCAAATGATTTGGAATGCTGAATGTAATTCATAAGTCTTCTTCTGTACTATGTGATGTTTCAGGAAATATGGGCATTGGCAGTTGCCTCCCCCCCCCCCCCCACCCACACACACACTAACAATTATTCGTTGGCACCCCCTCCATCCGACTACTTAGTAAAATCTTGTCATGGTAAAGACAGATTTTTAGCATATTTCAGCATAATCAAAGAAAGATAACTAAACAAATACTGATTGTGATTTTAATAGCTGGGATTATATAGACAGCCCACGAAAATTGCCCATTAACCTGACATGCCGGTCTTGTGAATCCATGCCATGCAGAATGCCGGAGCGTTAATGTGGTGTAAATTCTGTTCAATACATATCATATAGAAATGAATAATATTACATATCAGATTTGCCCCTGAAGACTGATCTCTAAGGTGTTCCTCCTTTAATTTTGTTTAGTTGCGTTAATATAGCTGGTACCTTTCTTCTTTCAAATTAAAAAAATTATTTGCTAAGTTGGAAGAAAAAATCTTATCTTACAACCATTAGAATACAGTTTATTGACACCACGTCAACTCAAAAGTTTGATAAACATTTTATCCTAGCATTTCACGAAAAAAATCTTCAAAACTCAAATGAGCGATTTTTCCTTTTTTTCATATTGAATATTCTTTAATCTGGTCAGGAAATTCAAATTCTATGTTTTTTTTCGTATGAATAACTTTTTCATTTTCTAAGTTACATAAATGAATTCTTTAACTTTTGTTTAAAAAAAAATAAAAATTGTGCATCATACATTGTGATTCAATTCTCAAACATTCATCCCACACCTATTTTCAGAATAAACATTGTCTTCATGTCTTATGCCTTAATTTATTCAAAAATTCAGAACTAGTTTGCGTTCTAAACACGTCTGGGTAGTTTTGAATCTCAATTTTTTACTTTCAAAGAAGGATGGCGGGGGTTGGTGAAACGTTCTTAAACCAATCCAGGATGTGCCAGGATGTACACTTTACCAAATATAGGGACTCAATCATTCCAAGATTTCTCCCACACTTACCCCCACAGTAAATGCATAATGCTGCATTTATCCATAATTTTTCTTCAAAATTAGGAAAAAAATTGCATTATAATCGTGTCTTGGTGATTAAAATCTACTTATGATGAGGGAAAGACTCTTTCCCCAACCTGCATGTATTTTTGATATATCCAACTGTTTTTTTCAAAAAGGAAAAATATTGTGCATCATTAACTCGTCTGGAGAAAAAAAACCCACATCGTTCCCATAATCATGGAAGACCTGTAAGCAGGGTCTTCTTTCCATTTTCTTCAAAGTTTTATTTGGGTCATTGGCTGATTTAAATGAACAATTGGATTTTCTGAATACAAAAAAAAAAAAAAAAAACCCAATGTTCTCAGCATCCCCTTCATTCTCTGAATATCCTTCAAATCGCTCTTAAAGTTATAACATGGTGTGCATCATAGCAAGCCTAAACAATTATACAGAATCTATCCATGTATGTGCCTCCACCCCTTTTTTTTGGCTGGCGTTCTGGATAGCCAAGATAATAGGGACTTTTAGATTTGCACAACGACAACGTGGATTGCTACGATCGACGTCCTTTTAATGCATTGCCTTGAATGGACGTCACACGTATCAGGCCACGCAAATCTAAAAGTCCCTAATGCCTATCTTGTCAGCAAACTACGTTCGCATCAGCCCCTATGCAAAATGTTATCGTGATGCTATAGAAAATACTGAGTATTTAAGGGTGTGTCTGTTTTGCTGACTAGAGACTCTAATCCTTGCCTTGAAATTAATCGCACTGCCACCATTGTGTGCTTCTTTCAAAGAGCACAAAAAGCCCTTAGATTGAACATTCCATCTACTTCAGCAAAACAACCACGCCCTTAAAGGGAGTATATCATGACGAGACTATGTGTCTTTCCTGTGGCCCTACTCGGGGCCAATCGGGTATAATACGACTACGGACGATGCGACCGCAGCATTCACGTCCTTTCAACATACGTGAAACCGAAGCGTGAGGAGAACTTCGGTCTGTTTCGCGAACATAACCCAGTTTAGCGCGCGCTGACCCAGTTAATCAAGTAGGCTAGCTAGTCTGCAGGCACAGACCCTAATTTGACACTTTATCAACAAATCATTGTGCCTTGAGAGAAGTCTAGCCCAGCTACCTACTGGTTTATAGGCGTTTTTTATTCACAACTTGCTAGGCCGTCGTCTCTTTCCAAAATTATTAATTTATTGAATTTTCTCTCTAAAAAAAGTTATAGAGTCTAAAAAGAAAAAAAGAGGAAGGAAAGAGGATGGAAGGAGAAAGAATCCTAAAAATAGTCATTTATGACATGAAATTGTACATATATGTATATATATAAATAATTCATAAAATAGTGTGTGGCAAAAATAGTCAACTGTGACTGATTGCCAAACAAAAACAAATCAAGAAGAAGAAGAAGGTTGTGTCAGGAGCAGCTTCAGTACATGGCCTATGGTAGTCTTATAGTGCAGACTCACTTTTACGACTGACCAGGGTTTGTGCTTGCAGACTATAGGCTAGCTACATTCGTTTACGTGCAGTTGTTTAAAAGAAGACGTAGATGGCGTCAACCAGTAATTCCCATGATACACTTCCTTTAATACTGGACACAACATTCAATGGGATGATGCCGACATTATTGAGTTATCCGTCTGGATAAATAGGATTTATCCTTCACCGAATAGGGACTCTTGCTATACATTGTTACCTTTCTTCGCTAAGTCGCTCAAATGATCTCGAGGCAGCAGACAGCAAGAATTATTGTGTAAACTGATAAAAACAAAGTCCACAGGAGTGGTTTTTAGAAGCTTAAAGGGCCACTCTAATCAAAACGGGCTAAAATGAATGGAAAAAAGACATGTAGTATAATTTTTGAGGGAGATTCCGAACATGACAACGATTTTTCTTAGAAAACATCAATAATTCTGGAATTTAGCTTTAAAAATGACGACTCAGAACGCGCAGAAAAAAGCCCAGTGTCGGTGATGCCGCATTTTACGTCACTGCAGATGCCTCTCCGGTGAAATGAAGGGTGATGTAGGCATTAAAATGTCTTTAAAACGGCTAACTATGATATTTATTAAAGAAAAAAAAAGACATTTATCCGAAAAAATAATATGCACCTGATAATCCCAGTACGTTTTTGGCAATTTCGTCATTCCTAATTATGATATTATGAAATTATCAAATCGGACATGCCCGCAATGACGTTAAATGCGTCATCAAACCACGTTACCGTATTACCCTTTTTTCGAAGGGTGTAGTCCAACAAGCATGAGAACTGTGTAAAATGGATGGCTATTATCTCTTTTTGGTCAATTTAGAGATTTTCTGAAAAATCAGAGGCTGGAATATTAATAAGAAGAGGTGTATTCATGTTTTGAAAGGCTATGTTAGTTGGGTTAGAGTGGCCCTTTAAACTACCTAAAACTCACACTCAATCTCTCCTAAGGACAATTGTAAACAACAGCGGGTTGTCTTGGGAACCACTTCTATCTTTAATAATGGGGTCCAGGGGTCCGCCTTAGGGCCCCTGGATAGCCGTCGTTAGCGATACAAACGCTAATCCACCCCTTGAAACGTAGATCTGTAATTGATACCTATTGTTCAGGGGGGGGATGATCTATTCATTCATCCCCCCCCCCTGAACAATTGGTATTACGTAAGGATTGACGCCCATGCCTTGAAATGTAAATTGCACTGCCCCCATTGTGTGCTCCTTTCATAGAGCACAACAAGCCCTTAGATTGAACATTCCATCTCATTCAGCAATTATGATTCCAGAACCTTGCAGCTAGTACACACCAATACTTATATGCTAGATGATCAACCTTTTCTGATCGATTCCACAACGTTTCTTTCACAATGGAATCGCATGACCATAACTGGTCTTTACCTTTACTTAAATGCACAAAACCCCTGAGCTTCGGGGGACTCAGACGCCCCGTGACCCCCCGTCAGGGCTTTGCCCATGGATGGTGGACCCACGCCAATTTACGCTCTAACCTGATCGTTAATACTTAAGCCCCCCCCCCCCACAAACACTTTGAAAAACGTTCCGCGGGGCCAGCATGTAACATGTAAGAGTGGTGGTAAAGCGGATTCTTTTTCTGCCCCTCCCCCTCCCCTCCCCCCCCCCCCAAAAAAAAAAAACAGTTTTGCTCATTACGCCACTGGGTGGCCTCAATTGAGAGGCTGCTACTGACAAAGACAGTTTAGACTGTGTATAATTATATTCTTGGACATGCTTTTGCCAACCATGTATTTTAAAAGCTTATCCGTAGTAGATTTTCTTTCCAATTAGGACACGGTGGCTAGACAGCGGGGTATGCATTTAGTTACACTCTAAGCGCTTTTTACACTGCATGGCTTTTTCGGATTTGAAAATTTTACATGATTCTGTAGTCGGCCAAACAAGACAATCCAAACACGGTGAGTTCAAACAGATCTTGGGTTATCAGCGAAAAAGCAGATTAACCAGATCCATAGTCGGGAGTCTTCAATTTCTTGTAAAATATCCATATTTATACCCTTCCAGTGGGACAGATGAAAATGATTGCGCAATCAGAAGGAAATAATTGAACTATAATTATGCCCTCTAAGTTTCATGGAAGAAAACACGCAACTTTTCTTGTGTGAACAAGAGAGAGGGGCTATTTGTTTGATTGTGCCTTCTCTAGTGGAGGGAGCATAAATAAGTATAACATTGATCAAATAGTCTATACAACAAAAGCTCACTTTTTTCCTTCCATTTTTAGGAACTAAAATCTTGGCAAAAACCCCCAAATAACTGCTCTGCTGGTCCAGTTGGTGATGATAGTAAGTAGACCTACTTTTGAAAATCAAGTTAATTCCATTTCCTCACAGCGAAGTGAGCATACCAATACAGAAGAAAGTGGGATTGTCTGTGTTTATACACTGTTGGTCATAATGGTGGAATAATTATTTTTACCCAAATTTATTGAATATGTTGACGATGATTTATTCCTCATAGATCTAGATAATAGTATACATTCTCAGATTTTATTGAATGACAATTGGGGTGTTTTTGGTTTGCGTGACTGCTAAAGCATATGTGTGCTACTATGCTAATCAACTAGGGGACTATACGTCCTTAAGTCATAACTGACAGCAACGGGGACGCCCCCACAAAAACAAAAAAACAAAGAAAATGCAATACATTATCAATAATTCATTGCATTTCCCCCCAGTCCCCGATTGAAAAAAATTCCTCTGTAGGGCCATGCATTATGGTGCAAGGCATGCCCGCGTAGAAGATTTTTTTTATGTTGGGGTCGGGGCAAAATGCAATGAATTATTGAAAATTTATTGCATTTTTTTTTTTTTTCTTTTTTTTTGTGGGGGCGTCGACGTACCCTAGCGCCCGCTGCGTGCAGTCATGATTCATTGGCTAAGCAATGACCTCGTTACTGTGAGCCCCAACGATCAAAACCGTGTCGATGTGCTATATTAGTGCCCTTTTATGAGGTATTAATCCCCATTTCTGTCAGTTATGACTTAAGGACATAGGTCCCCTAGTTGATTAGCATTGTAGCACACACATGCTTTAGCAGTCACGCAAAGAAAAACACTCCCCAATTGTCATTCAATAAAATCTGAGGATGTATACTAATATCTAGATCTATTAGGAATAAATCATTGTCAAAATCATTCAATAAATTGGGGTAAAAATAATTATTCCACCATTATGACCAACAGTGTACATGTAGATGTACAAAGAGAAGGCCAGCCTCAGATGCTTTATCTACACTCTTAACGCCCGTTCAAATATGAAGCGGCAACCCCCCCCCCCCTTTCCCCCAATTGTTTTTGATTTTGTTAGTGTTCAGATATGAATGGCGTGATTTGCCGCGCCTCTCATAAGTATAAGTATAAGTATAATAATTTATTGTCCTTTTCAAGAAATTTGGTTTCCACTGGTTACAGAGTAATACAATCAAATATATACATGAAACATGAGACAGTGATAAACAATTATGATAAACATAATGAATGAGGTAATAAATGAGTAAGCCACGGTATATAGGGTGGTTATAAAGATAATATCAGATTCCATTTTACAAAATATGAAGCTAAATTATTTGATATGATTATTCCATAGTAGGCCTAAATCTTAAAATGATAATAAATCCATAAATTATTATTATTATTATTATTGTTGTTATTATCAATTACTATATTCAGTAGTATAATTATTACCGACTTGGTAATGAGATGTGCATTACGGGTCAATACGCTTGTTAGGCATTATAATCTCAAGTAGAAAAACCACCTAATGATTCATACACTGTTAGCAGTAGCAGATGAAGATATAAAACAAATGTTGTAATACGGTCAGGAAAATCATCAACAAAACACGTGTATTATAAGATTGCCTGATATTCTTGTTGGTCCGATAGTATCCCTTGTTAGAACCTTTCTGTTTCGTGCAATGACCATGGATTAATTTTTTTGTTAAAGGTGCTGGGGAACCATCGTTACAAACTAATGTCAACAGTACTATTTCGCGTTTATTTTGGTTCTGGCAATTTCAAGTAATGTTATTACTTTATGAGCGAAAAGAAAGATATTGTTATTGTGAGTAAATTGTTTTGTTTCTTCTTTGCAGTGACCCATTGGCAAGGAACAATAATGGGTCCAGTAAGTATGCTTATGTTTCACAAAAAACATATTTTTTCATCTTGACTTGCAATTCACTCAAACATTAAAAAATAAACTGCTGCCGTTTCCTGCATCACAATGTATATGCAGAATATTGTGTATGATTCTTGTTAATTTGTATGATGTTTTTAATGTTTTCAATTTTGTAAATTCATTTTTAATTTAGCATTTGGCTACAATGAGTGAATACATACCTTGAATTGTTTTGAATTGTACAAGCCTTAAAGCCCCACTGTCCTACTTGTAGCTACTTGCTCCCTCTATATAGAAAACTTCCCCAATCGGTGCCTGTTGGTCCCCCATGATACTCTATTTCTTATGTTATTTGAGAGCTGAGTTGATGAGATAGGCACCTGTCAGTGACCTCGCTGTGTGGTCTAATCCCTCCTAGCCTCACTAGTGTTGATAAGCTTTAAGTTTATAATAGTACTGGGACTGCCTGTAAGAGAATTCAAATTAAAAAATAGTCATCTATTACCTGGATTGGCCCGGACACATTAATCTATGAAGACTATATACCTAATATAATTTAACCTTCAAGAAGTTATGCTAGAAAGAGCTTCACTTCTTAGCCTCGGTGTCCTAGCTTATGTTCTTGTAGTTCTTGTAGAAACAATCAAGTATTACACAGAAGTTGAACAGAATTGTGCAATTATTGATATACATATTGAAGACTAAGTCCACTCCAAAATATAATTTGCTTTTCATAGATGCAGAAAAGAAAGAGAGCAAAAGAATTCGAGTGAAATCGGATAACTAATAAGGAAGTTATGAATGTTGTTAAAAGTATGAAAAACTATGGAACTTAGAAAATTACTACACAAATTGCCAATTTGGTTATCACTTTGTGACGTCATTGCCTTACCATTTATCAATTGCTTTATATATTTTTTATCCCATTAATTTTCCCTTTTTATCCCCCAAAAAATGATTTCCCATGCCTTTGCCCGGGTTATATGATATGTATCATATTGCATGCATGACTTTTCAGAAAATCTTTTATGAACTTTGAAGATTTGAACCTATTTTCTGAATATTGTACATTCATAATCATTGATTTTTATATAAATAGTTTATCAAAATTCAAATTTTTCATGATTTAACTGAACAAAATTACTCTATATTAGTGCATCCGCACACAAACATATTAATATTAATATAACTTGGATGCTTAGTGGTGTGAGGAAATAAAAATTTTAGGGGGGACATTGGAAATTTATATCATCAATATGAAGAAAACAATTAGTGAATAATCAGGCAATGACGTCACAGACGTATGAGTGAGTTGCCAATTTGTCTTGTGATTTTCAAGGTTGTTCATGTCATTAAAAAAATCATATCTTTCTCATTAGTTATCCGATTTTGCTCAAACTTTTTTAGATTGGTTTGTCTGATTTTTCTGCCTCTATTGAAAGTAAGTTATTTTTGGAGTGGACTTGCCAACTAAAGTTACTCATACTCTTACCAAGTATTGCAACTTTTGTTATTGTTTTAAAAACCCTATCTGATGAAAATAAAACTTTATATCAATGGAAAGCTGAATGAACATAGAATACAAATAAAAGCAAAAACAAAATAGTATCCCCTTCAGTATTGCACAAAAGCAAATTGAAATCCTCAATTTTCACTCCCCTCCAGATTACGGGTCAACAGGGGTCGGATATGCGTACTCCACTTTCAAATCATTAGATTTCGAGTTATTAGCGAGCTGTTACTCCTCTGACAGACACTGAAATAGCTATACACTCAGGTGTAATTGATATTTTTGTAAGCTATGGCTTATAAGCTTTTCGTTGATATATAATTCATCTATTTCATTTTTCACTTCTGATAAGGTCTTTCATGATATATTCCAGTATATTCCAGATGTAAGATTTATTTGCAAAACATATTTGTCTTTAATAATTTTCTCTTCATTTTTTTCTCCATGTTTTTCCATACAGGATGACAGTCCATATCAGGGTGGTGCTTGTTTTTCCTTTCAATTGAATTGCCTGAAGATTACCCCATCAAGCCTCCCAAGGTAAAAATGAATGCACAACAATTATTTCTTTAATACATTTAACAGATCTTAAATGGGTTTGAAACTGTAAAGCTGTTAAACGATAAGTAAAATTTAATGCATTCATGATATATTTTTTGAAAGTGAGATGGTAATTTGTTTTATATCAGTTGATGTGAAGTAGGCTACGTCCACAACATGAAACGGTTAATATGTTTGTCTGAAGATCAAGTTTGGATCTGATTTTAAAAAGAATCAGTAACATGTATTTCTTATTTGAAAGTACATGTGGTATCTTCCAGTGAAGTGAAATTTGAAGATGAAAATTATATCAGAATTATTCACACTGACTTTAGAATTCACTAAATGGAAAGTCCATTTTTGTCCCTTACGTTACGAACCACATGACATGATTTCTTGTGACCATCTTGAAGAATTTTTGAACGCAAATGAATCGAAGGTGAGTCGATTCTTATTAGGAAACCCTTATTTATCTATGACAAACAACTTCTTCTGGGCGTCTTAAAGGATTTTGGAACGAAAATGAATTGATGGTGAGCCGAATAATGTGATTTTACAAAATGGCGCATAGAGGGCGTCATGGTTGAGTGACCACACTGCAAAAAGGAGGTTTTCTATTCGTGATGATAGGCCATCAATGCAATCCGTCTTTAGCTAATGAACATTGTAACTTCTTTGGCAATCTCAAAGAACTTCGAAAAGGGAAATAATAAATTTGAGTCGATTTTCATGATGAAACCCTTCTTTATCTAATGAACATTGTTACTTCTTTGGGCTGTCTAGGAGAACTTTAAAATGCCATTGAAATGGAAGTGAGTTGATTTTCACCAAAATAAACACCTTTTTAAAATTTGATCTTTGAGATCTCGTTTTGTGACTGTGGACCCGATGTTGCTTTCGTTTGGTTCGGCAGTTCAGCTACACCACTTCTCCATCCATACATCGATGGTCTGAATGTAATCTAAAGCTGGTTTATGAGTGCAACATACTCAGTCTTCATGAATACCAACCTTTGGAAGAAAAAGTTTGTTTTTTTTGCATCAAAAAATATGTTGTACTATTATAGAGGCAATATACATTAAAAAATATATATACATGTTTAGCGTCCCCTCCCGCTCATTTTTTTTTTTCTCATTTTTTTATTTTATTTGTTTTATTTTATTTATTTTTTTTTTTTTAAAGAAAAAAAACATGAAAAACATTGCTAAAATTTCTGATTTTAGAAAATAAATAAATAAATGCCGGCGGCCTCTTCAAAAATAGCCCGACCGTCAGGGAAAATGTACCGATCACCCATTTTTAAATTTTTGTTTATGGGGGGGGGGGCCTTAAAGGCTTTAAGAAGCAGTCGACAATTGAAAGTTAAATGAACCTCAGTCTAAGCAATTCATGAAATGTCTGTATAGGTATGAACTTAAGAAGGCAAGTACATTATTTACAAGGCAACATACTATCAAATTTTGGGTAAAATCTCTTTCCTACCCATAGGTTGTTTTCACAACAAAAGTCTACCATCCAAATATAGACAGCAATGGCAAGATCTGTCTAGATATCCTCATATCAGAGTGGTCACCAACTGTCACTATTGTACAAGGTATGTATTTATGGGTCTCTCCCAGATTAGAATAGCAAGTTTCATTTTGTCCATGAAGTCCTTCAAATACACTTGATATTTGATTGTAGGTGAGGTTCGGAACCGATAAGAATTGATTTGAAATTGATAATCATAATAATGATAATTTTTTTTTTTTTTTTTTTTTTTTTGGGGGGGGGGGGGGAGAGAAAGAAAAAAATCCGCATCACCACCACTCTTACATGTTACGCAGGCCCTGGGAACGTTTTCCAAAGTGTGGGGGGCCGGGGGGCTAAAGTATTTGAGATCACGTAAAGCAAAGCAAAGTGCAGCGTAAATTGGCGTGGGGTCCAGGGCAGGTGTCAAGGGGCGGAGCCACATGAAACTCAGGGGTTTTATGCATTTAATTACGGTCAGATGAGCAACCAGGGGCCCGCCTTGGGGCCCTTATTGGGGTCCAGGGGCAGAGCCCCCGGAAGCTGGCGGGAAAATCATGTCATTTCAGCAACATTTTGTAAATCACTGGTATCGAATTAGAAATAAAGCACGTTTGAATTTCATTGGGGGAGAAATGTCCCCAGAGCCCCCCCCCCCTATCATGACGTAAGTGCGAGGGAGCAATAGTGAATAAGAGGGATGAAGGTGACGAAAGTTACTACCCCCTCACAGATTTTTGAAGTTTTGCTGTATTAAAAAATTACACTTCTTAGCAAAACTATAGTATAAAAAACAAGCAATATACTTTTTTCACACTTCACTTTTTCGATATTTACTTGTAGTACATTTTGAAGGATATTATGCGAGGGAGCGTAGCTACCGAGTGAGAAGATTTTTGCATTTTATTTGTCTAAACGCTGCACTCTTGGGCCCTCCTGGGCCTTAAAGTGTGTTGAGTCAGAATTTGCTATACATTTTTGTTGTTGCACTTTTTCAAATTTTAGGGGGGGGGGGGACAATCCCCCTATAAAAATTAAGGGGGGACGTGTCCCCCCTCTCTCCCCTCCAGGGACCGCCGCCCCTGCTCCAGACAGATAAATCAACAAAGAATTTACTTTCTAAAAATTGATTATCGGCACAGGATTGTAAAATTAAAAATGTGGACTAGTTTGCACTCTCATACTCCGACGATTATTTCCGTTATCGGTCAGGTAGGACCAGTCCCTTTACCTTCCAACCAAGTCTACCGTCTGTCATATTGGTATTGTAAATGTGTTTTGTTTTTCATTTATAAATATATCTTTATTTCTTTGACACTTCTGTAGCTGTTACTCTGGTCTGCTTGCTATCTTACATGGTCTATATAATTAATTATGCATTGATCAAGTTTCAGCAATGATATTGCAGAGCTAACGTGCAACTGTATGCAAAAATAGTTGATGACTTTTTTGGTTTTGTCTTTATAGTTTTCGAAGCAATCTGCTTGATGCTAACTGACCCTAACTGGGATGACCCCCTCGTACCAGATATTGCACGATTATACAAAAATAACAAAAAAATTTCAACGAAAGGGCCAAAGAATGGACTCGAAAGTATGCCGGCAATAACAAACAATCTAAATAATCTGGAAGTATAAAAAATGGCTATTCTTACTGTGATTTACGTTACAAAACATATATCACAAATGTAACATTAGAAAAAATATTGTGTGTAACTTGCAACGTAGAGTGGAGCATAATCAGGTACTGCCATTCTGAACAGATGTGATAAAATTTTGTAACAGAAGAATTTAGAGTTGTGTCTTTTTTGTTTTGTAGAATGTAAATGTAAGGATCTTTGTAACTAGGTAAATTCTGCTCAACTATAAACAAGGTGACTAAAAATTGTTTACTTCTCAAAGAGAAGGTGAAATTGTAATCTTATTAATAAATATAAGCAAATTGAATGATAGGAGGTGAAATAAATATTAACTCATTAATTGTTGTGATATGTATATTTTGAAAACTGTTCCTCATAACTTTAATATTTTTGAATATCTCACTAGGCAGTAATCAATACCCACTTTTAGGTATATGAAACTGGCATATCTAATAACATTTATAAGAAATTCATCTTATATGCGTATATAATTTTGTATCTTAATTAACAATTCCAGTCATATCATGTCAACTTTCAATATATCGCCCTAACCCTTTGCAATGTGACTCACTTTTAGAAACTAAAGTTTCGCTGTCTTTCCCTTCTAATGTTATGTACATATTTGGATAGAGAGTTGACGGGGTGTGGGACAGAAGACTTGAGGGTCATAGTAATTCAGTTCACCTTTTCTTGTCTCAGGCAGCTCCGTCTGCTCTGTTAAAACCTCTTCACCTGTTTTGCATCATGATCAATCTAATGTTTTGTTATTGATTTTATATGTTGAACGACTTTTTTTTCTTTTGAAATGCCGAATAAATAATAATAATGATAATGATCTCTAGAAAGTGGCTGAAAACATAACTGAAACAGTGAAACTATAAGTAAGATAGCACATGCAAATGTATTCTAGCGGGGTCGTAAGGACCGCTATTCATAATTTGAGAAAAAGGTCATTATTCCTAAGGGTCATTACTCATAAGGTCCGCTATTCATAGTCGAAGAAGAGGGTCGCTATTCATGATTCAAAATATGGGTCATAATTCGTAGGGTTCCCTATACTTAATACGAGAAGAGGGTCGCTATTCACCTCATCTCGTATTATGGATAGCGACCTTCATTTCGTATTATGAATAGCGGTCCACATGAGTAATGACCCCCAATATAAATTATGAATAGCGCCCCTTCTTCATGTTTATGAATAGCGACCCCGATGTCGTATTATGAATAGCGGTCCTTACGAGTAATGGCACTCAATGTGAATTATGAATAGGATTTATAGAATGCAAATAAGTGTTAAAAATGGGGAGAATGATATTTCAGATTACATGTACGACATGTAAAATGATTCTTGCTTCCAATTGTTTTTTATATGTTTGAACATCACATCTATATGAATAAAGTTATTTGAAAACCTCAGATAATTATTCTTTTGCTGACATTTTTGCTCTGAAGTTTAAAAAAAACAAACATTATGACTTTTTTTTACATTGTGATGTATTTGATTCAAACTATCTACCCGTAATATATTTTTGTTGTATAAGTTTTAATATAATATTATTGATATTATCTTTTTTTTACCGACTCTGTTGGATGTTACTTCATGTATGCGTACAATAAGATATGTCAAATGAAAAGGGAAAACACATATGTTTGTTTAGCTTAAAATTATTACGGGTATACATATACTAAATAATGTACATTGCATGAACTGTGAAATGCATATTGTAATGAAGGATTACCAGAAAGCCATCTATCTTCATGTGATATGAAGGGTTCCACACACACATTTTTCACAGTAGGTCGGGGGAGTGTTTCACACTGATCCTAAGTTGAACCTATCTCTAAGTTGGACTTAACAATTATGGAAAGTCGTTAGCATCTTAAAAAACATTTTATGAAAGTTATTTCAAAAGGCATAAAAAAGTTGATTCAAATCATTCATAGTATCTAGGAGATTTCATGTTCTTGATGTGGAATTTATGTTAAGTCTAAAATACCTGAATTTTTCCTTTTGAATGTATTTTATGTTAAGGCTACAAATGGCTCTCCATAATTTTTAAGTCCATTAAGAATCTTTGTGACCCCCCCCCCCCCCCCCTGGAATGAAATATTTAGGTTCTATATACGTAGGTCCTCTGTTGAGATTTCAATAATCTGGGGTCCAGAATTAAAATATTTTTTACCGAACTCTCGTTGGTGTCGAGCCCTGTGATAGGCAAAATCCTCTTTGGCAATGTTAATACAATAATGAGTCCTTACATTATGTTCACTGCATGTATATGTAAAATTCTTATATTGAAAAGTTAAAAGTCGTTAAATCCCATTGCTAAATTCTGCATGGGTCTTTTAAGACGTTATAGCTATATGGTGTCAGTCCAAAGCGTTCTAGATGACAGGTAACCCGGCCGGAAACACAAACACTACACTGTGAAAAAATGGGCAACATTTTCAACACTTTGCCCAACGTTGTGCCAATAGTCAACCCAACCATCTATTGGGCAATATTTTCGTATTTTTCCCCAACAGCTGGTCAAGATTTTCCCAACAAATGGGCTACCGTAGTCGGACAGTTGAGGGGTCATTATCTTTGCCCAAATTTTGGTCAAAATACGAAAGAACTATGCACGTGTGAAGTAGGGTACTTACGTTTACCAATACCACTGGGCAAAATATTGCCCGATAGATGGTTGGGTTGACTATTGGCACAACGTTGGGCAAAGTGTTGAAATAATATTGCCCAAATTTTCACAGTGTAGTGACATTTTGTTAAAGAAATAAAATGTAGATAAGTGATTTTTTTTTCCTTCTCAATATACAGTGTGTTGAAGGACAACAATAATAATTTTACACAGTCCATTTTTTTCTCAACATATAATATGTTCAATTCTGATCACTCAACGCAAAATTTTTGTTGTGAAAATCGCATGGTTATGCAAAGTTTATATTTGGAATAAAATATTAGTTTAAAATGTGATAATGGAAAGACAGAAATTACAGTGTAGTACGAAATGTAAGATTTCAAAGCCAATTGGATCATGCAAGTGCATTTATTGCATCATAATCTAACCACTTAAAAAATAACGCCATAACCATGCTGCTGAGGCAAAATATAATATTTCAAAGCCAATTGGATTATGTATAAGTGCATTTATTGCATCAAAATCTAACCACTTAAAAGATAATGTCATAACCACGCTGATGAGGCTCAAATCATTACTTACTATTCCTAGAAACTTTTGAAGTAAACCAAAAATGTAACAGGTGATGGGGTTAAAATTAATTGAAAATTGTATTACATTATATTTGTATTCATTAAATATTGTATCCCATGACTGTGTGAGAATAAATCTAATACATAAATCAACTTCTATTGTATATTTTAACAGTTTGAGTGTTTAAAGTGGAAGCATTTAAGCGTAATCGCGTGATGTGTGAAAAATGACTGCTTTGTTTTGAAATGGTTCCTTTTTAATACTTAGTTCTTTATTCTATTCTATACAAAAATATTTAAAAGTTATATGTCAGGAATGGACAGAGAGGGGACAAGGGAGAGAGAGAGAGAGAGAGAGAGGGGGGAGAGAGAGAGAGGGGTGAAATAGAGAGAGAGAGAGAGATAGATCGAGAGGGAGAGGGGAAGAGAGAAAGAAAGCTTGCAATGTTGATGTTATCATATTTAAAATACCCTTGAGGACTCTACGAAAAAGGCAATATTTTGAAGATAAAATCGAAACAAAAAACTCCCATTTTTTCAAGTACCCCAAACTGCCCCCTTCTACTTCAGATAAGTGCCTCTTTTTCTTTTTAATATGTTCCCGTTTCACATTATTGTAATCATAGGCGCCGGAAGTGGGGGGGGGGGGGGCAGGGGGGGGCAGCTGCCCCCCCCCCCCCCAATCAAAAAAAGTGGGGGGGCAATACCCATTTTTGCCCCCCCAAACGCCCCCCCCCCCCCTCCAAAAAAAAAAAAAAAGCAGTAAAGGAGTAAACATGGTTTGTATTTTTAACCCAAAAGAACATAACAATAATAAAAACCTGAATTAAATCACATATACAATTCCATTCAAAGAAAAGGAAAGTTCACAGGAATTAAATTTCCTAAACATTGCGCATGCCACCTATACGGTATCAATGGAGGTCTTTATAATAGCGATACGCGCATATCGTGGACATATTGTGCGATAATGGGAAAGCGTGTCTATTTTTTTGTTATATGGGTGAGAAGACATGAGCCCCTGAACGCTGGCGTACTGATGAGGGGGGGGGGGGGGGGAGGGGATGTATTTCTTATTCGATACCAGTGATAGCAAATGTTGCTGTTATGACATGATTTTCCGGTATTTTACGTATCTTTACTTATTTTATGAAAGAAATTGGAATAATGATCAGCTGATGAACCATGAGTACATTAATAGATAAACACATATCGACAATATTTGGCATCATCATTAAAGGGCATTTATTCCAACTGTAAAAACATTTCTTTTGAGGGTGTACAATTACATATTACAATTAAAATGATTCTTGCCGCCATCATGACAATATACTGAGACAAATCACACGAATAGTTGCAAGAAAACTTGTATTATATTTGTTTTAATCATGTAAGATAGGGCATTCATAAGTACATTGATGATTGTTCACATAAATTTACAATATTTTCTACACATTTACAACACTATCGTGCTGATACAAATAAAGACAAAGAAGGATGATGATGATGATGATGATGAAGATGATGATGACGATGATTGTAACGATAATAATGAGGGGGGGGGAGGGGATGTATTTCTTATTCGATACCAGTGATAGCAAATGTTGCTGTTATGACATGATTTCCCGGTATTTTTCTCCATTTTTTTGTAAGTCATACCTTTTTATAGGTTTGTTGGAAAATAGAAATTCCCAAATTACAGTCTGGCGAAAAATACGCTTATTTAGAAGCCTTTATGTCATGATCTGCAAAGTGGCTGGGCTCGAGCCCCCCCCCCCCCCCCCCGCCCTCACTTTTTGAAAAAGTATGTTAAAGAGAAAAAGAAAGAAAGCCAGAGAGAAAAAATAAGTGACCTGCCAATGTCACAAATAAGGTATAAAAAATGCTCATCTGACCGTAATTAAATGCTTAAAACCCCAGAGCTTACGGGGGCTCCGCCCCCGACCCCACAAGGGGCCCTAAGGCGGTTCACTGGATGCTCATTTGACCGTAATTAAATACCTAAAACCCCTGACCTTCCGGGGGCTCTGCCCCATGGATGCTCATCTGACCGTAATTAAATACCTAAAACCCCTGAGCTTCCAGGGGCTCTGCCCCCTGGATGCTCATCTGACCGTTATTAAATACTTAAAACCCTGAGCTTCCGGGGGCTCTGCCCCCTGGACCCTACCAAGGGCTCTATATAAGGCGGGACCCTGGATGCTCATCTGACCGTTATTAAATACTTAAAACCCCTGAGCTTGCGGGGGCTCTGCCCCCTGGACCCCACCAAGGGCCCTAAGGCGGGCCCCTGGATGCTCATCTGACCGCTATTAAATACTTAAAACCCCTGAGCTTCCGGGGGCTCTGCCCCCTGGACCCCATCAAGGGCCCTAAGGCGGGCCCCTGGATGCTCATCTGACCGTAATTAAATACCTAAAAACCCCTGAGCTTCCGGGGGCTCTGCCCCCTGGACCCCACCAAGGGCCCTAAGGCGGGTCCCTGGATGCTCATCTGACCGTAATTAAATACCTAAAACCCCTGAGCTTCCGGGGGCCCTCCCCCTCCCCCTGGAACACGTCAATGGCCTTAAAGAGGGCCCCTGGATGCTCATATAACCGTAATTAAATACCTAAAACCCTGAGCTTCCGGGGCTTAGCCCCTTGACCCCCTGCCGAGGCTCATGCCCTGGACCCCACGCCAATTTACGCTCTGCCTGATCGTTAATACTCCACTTTGAGAAACGTTCCGCGGGACCTGCATGTAACGTGTAAGACTGGTGGTGATCATGTGATGCAGATTTTTCGTCTGCCCCCCCCCCCCTTCCGAACGTTTTTTCTCATTACGTCACTGCCCCTGGAAAGTGAGCCCCCTGGAATGTTTGCCCCCCCCCCCAATCCCAAACTGCTTCCGGCGCGCCTGATTGTAATATAAATGTCCCCTTCACCTTGATAATTGCCATTTTTAGTTTGAGAAGTGCCTATTCGTTTGTATCAAGTGCCCTTCCCCTTCAAATAAATACCCCTTTTAATGTGACACGTGCCATTTTTCCTTGTTGATAATATGATTGCCCCGTTTCCTTCTGAAAAGTGCCCTTTTCCCCTTCTCATAAATGCCCCATTTTAACTGTGATAAATGCCCCTATTAAAATCTGATTTGTGTCACTTTTAATCTCTGAGTAGTGCCCCTTTTTTCCTGATAAGTGCATCGTTCATGTTGAAGGGATCCCTTTTCCTTTCTAAGTGCCTCTGTTCCCTTCTATCAAGAGCCCGTTCCCCTTCTGTAACTGTTTACTCCCAAATCGTTTGTTGGCTAATTAGTGGCTAACTGATACGAGCAGTTTAGCCCCAAATGGAACATTTTCTTTACCATACAATTAAATTGATGGGCGTACAACACACTATAGCGACCAATCAGCCCGGACCTAAATGTTGGAAGCCCACAGACTCGTATGTTTAGCCAGCCTGGTGTTATCATATTTGATATAAATTGTAGCCAACAACGATTTGGGAGTAAACAGTCGCATCTCTCTTTAGTTACAGAAAATGCAATATTGATGGTACAACTTGGAGCGAGCTAAGTGGAGGTCGGTTTTTAAGTTGTAGGGTTCAGGACGCATTTCACCGGTGGACACATCTCGCCGTGATTTACGCGGCGACATGCGTCCGACCCTAGACACAATCATATCGCCGAAGCCAGACGCGTCTCGCCAGTCATTTTTCGGCAATCTGTGTCTATAGACACAGATCGCGAGCCGGACACTATTGCTGTCACACCAGCCTCACGGGCGTGCAGCTTGCTATGATGCATGCGCTATAGATATCGTCACCCAGCAAAAGAGTACATAAATGCTATCTGCGCGCGCTGCGCGTTTTTTGCACAATGCTACGCTCTAGCGCTATACGTACACTGCATGCATGATGCATGATGCGTGATATAGTCTATGCATTTACTGTGTAGATCCCTCTACGTACATAATTATATGCTAGAGAGATCGAGAACGTCGATTCATGTCGTTGTCGGTGAATTTGTCTTCGCAGAAGTGAAACCAAAGGCTAAACTAAGCCTGAATATCCACTGAACCAGACCTACTTATTCCTCAATAGATCGGAGGTTTTGTTCCTCGTGTCCAGAAAATATCGGGTTCTCACTTTGTGTTCCACCATAAATCTTCTGATACGGTCGGTATGGCATTAAAACGAATCAACAAGGTAAGTTAGATTTAGAACATGTAATACTGGATCTAGATCTAGGTAACTCAACTGTTACTAAAATAAAAAAATCTTAGTTTTTTGCATAACAAGTTAGGCAAGCCACAAGTTAGGGTGTTAATACCATCATGACTGTCCATTGTTCAGTTGTTTGTGCTATCAAAATCTAACAAAAATTACAGACCTTCCCAATATGACTCACTGCATGCTGCAGGAGTGCATGTGCAGGAACTAACTCTAGCTAGGGAGCTCTGATGCACAAGGGCCTAGGCAACACTGTGTAGATTAGGTGGAATTCACTCCGCATGATGACTGGTAATGTAAATAATGTTGGTATGATTGGGGGGTTGTGTGTCCAGAGGACTCCGGACGCTTAACCAAAATAAACACCGTCACTTTTGGCAAATGATGGTGTTTATTTTGGCTAAGCGTCCACCTTATGCATCTAATATTGAAATAAATATAGACTAGATCTAGGTCTAGGACTTACTTAGACTACCGTCAAGATATTTTACCTTTAGTTTATCACTATTGGTAGAGGCGACAGTCCGAGAATGAGGATCGTCCGCATAAAAGAAGAAATCGTTGTATACGCGGTCAAAATGCGTCCTTTTCTTACACGCTGTGCAGGTTTCACTTTCAGGTTCCCGATCCGCGTGCTGGCGATGTAAAAAACAGATTCCGCGTAATAAAATACCTCCAGTTTACCGTCTACTTTGATGGGTTGTCCGTCTTCCCAAGGATTTATCGCTCATAAAGTGAAAATCTCTGTACAAAGTCAATGTAAAATGCATCAAAAAATAATTGTGGAACCTGTTTTTCACATTGCTAACGCGGATCGTAAATCAGAATCGTCAGCGAAACTATGGAGGATTCTTGTTTTTCCGGACGCGTCTGTCCGCATTTTAATATGAAGCACTCCTTGTTTTTTCAGCGGGCCCGAGTTGTCCCCGGGTCCGAGTTGGCCCAGATCTCACTACCTTCATGTACTAGTTGACTGTAGTAGAGTCAGTTTAGCAATGCAGTATGATGACAAACCAATTAAAACTTAACCTTATTCCTTAACAACATTTAAATGATACACTTCAGTTTCTGTAAAGAGGCGGTCAGTGGAGCCAGATGTAGTCTCAGCAGAACAACCATCGATATATTAATTATAAGTAACTGAAGCTATTGCCTTTTGGTACAATCATGAATGTTACAATTAATTAAGCTACTAAAATTTGTTGGAGCTCGCTGTTTTTGGCCGACTATAGAAAGTCTAGAATCACTTAAAATGTTGGTATCCTTAAATAAAAATGGCTAATGTTGGGTTATCACTTTATAAAAGTAGCGATTCTGTTTAACTTTAGAGTAAGCTACTAAAGGCATCACTGAATGCAAACCCCGGTGGCTGTGAGCTAGCGCTGGTGTGTCAAAAAAATGTGGGAAAATATAGATGTAGGATGTACAATGTCTTGATTTTTATTCTTATAATTATTTTACAGTTAAACCTATTATTTAGTCGGGAAACAGAAACACCGGCCGCTGAAGGCAGGTGGCCTCTTTGGTCTCTAGACGTGTTCTACAACATACATGTACATTTGTCTCTCGAGTCTCGAGGGAGGCGAAATATATGGCCACTGTTGGCCTCAATGGGGTGGTGGTGACAAAGACACTTTTTTTACTGTGTATTTATTCTTGGACATGCTTTGGCCAACCAGAGTGTATTTGAAAGCTTTTCAGTAGTAGATTTATTTTTCCTTGAATACATGACATTATTGTAAAATAACAATATTTGAACATTTATATCCGTCCTGTGGATCAGATGACAACGATTGTGCAATCAGAGGGAAATTGAACTGTTCTCTCAAAGTTCATGCGGGAAAAGATTAACTATATAACAGATGGCATGTATTGCACAACTTTTCGTGTGTAAACAATTTGTTAGTAAGAGAATGAGACTATTTGTTTGATTGTGCCTGTCTAGTGGAAAGAGCATCAATAACTTTAACACTGTTCATGTAGTCTATACAACATTAATTCACTTTGTTCCTTCCATTTCTAGGAATATAAGGACTTTGAAAAGGAACCCCCAAGTAACTGCTCTGCTGGTCCAGTTGGTGATGATAGTAAGTATTATATTCCACATTCAAAGAATCTTGCGCTACGATTGGTTAAAAGTAAATCATGTGATGAAAGATAGTTCGCCCATCATTGATGGGAGAAGAAAAGTTTGTTACACTGTGTAGATATACTACTACATTCCTTCAGTTAAAGTGCACTGCACTGTGTAAATAGTAATACTATCAACACAGTGCAACACACTTTAATTATATACGTTGCGTATACGTACGTATGTAAGTATTGCATGCACTGTACGTATCAAACACCATTGCTAGCTATTAATTGATGACTTGTTGCTCTAAAATGACGGAAAAAGTGATATGATTCTGATGTGGAATATAAACATACATTTATAAGGAGAAAGCCTGGCCCCTTTTTTTTCTTCTTTTTTCTTTCTTTTTTCCCTCTTTAGGCTGATTTATTTTTCAGTTTCATTTGCTCTAATACATTTGTCTGGATTCATTAAACTTTTTTTTTCAAACAAACGATTACCGGTATTACAAAAAAAACTTTGATAAAGATTTTGTTTTGGTCGGTCGCAAAGGGCAATTAATATTACAACCACTTTTTTTTAAAGCTGGTCCATGGAGCGATGGATTTAAAAAAAAGGATGCTGGGGAACCTGGTCATCGGTAGGCTACAAACTAATGTGAACAGTACTGTTTTGCATTATTTTTGTTGTTGCAATTTCAGGTAATGTTGTTACTTTATGAAAAGAAAGGAAAGATATTGTTATTGTAAGTAAATTGAATTTCATTGTTTTTCTTTTTCTTTTTTTTTTTTTGTCTTTGCAGTGTACCACTGGCAAGCAACAATAATGGGTCCAGTAAGTATGCTTGTGTTTCACAAAACAATTGTCCTTTCTTTTTAAATGAGATACATGTAGAAGTTCGGACAGGTAAAGGCATCGGTCACCCGAGATGCAGTTAACCATGAGGGGAGGGGGGGGGGGGGGGGGGGGTGTACCTTGCATCCTCTTGACTATGTATTCACTTGGTATTGGTATTCACTCACACATTAAAGGTATAGACCAGTTTGGAAACGTCCCCTCTCTAAAAATGAAATGGAAGCTCTTATTACCGATCATGCAAAAGAATATGTTTTGACTAAGACGTGATGATAACAATTTTACCGGGAAACCGCCTACTACCGGTAATTGACATATTTGGTAAATTATTATATCTATCTGGACCCGATAGATATCGCGCATGTGTCACGCACGTGTCGCGTAGTCCCATATAAATCTTTCTGTGTACAGTGCTTTGAACTTTACCATGACTGGGCCAAATTTCTTATAATTTTGATGATTCCAGAACCTTGCAATACACAACGTTTCTTCCACAATGCAATCGCATGACCAGAACTGATCTTTACATTTGAGATAGGTATAAAATAGTGCTGAGGCTGTAAAAAAAACAACTTAGTAATCTATTACCAAGATTGGCCCAGACACAAGAATCTATGAAGACTCTAACCTAATACAATTTAACCTACAATAATGCTAGAATGAGCTTTACTCGTACTTATGTTCTTTTACTTTCATACACAGAAGTTAAACAGAATTGGATAATTAATGATATACATGTACAGTATTAAAGTTTCTCATACTGTTACTAAGTATTTCAACATTTTTTATTGTTTTTAAAAACCGTATGCTACATGGAAAAAATAATATTTATTTTTCGGGGGCTACTTTTCAAGCTTGCCCGCATGAAAATAGCACTCTAAAATTTGTTTTGCATTGAACTCTATTCAAATTTATAAGGGCTCTTTTCTGATTTTCGGGGGCTCTTTTGGGCATTTCGGGGGCGAATTGGCCCTGAGCCCCCATGTATTTTTTTCACTGATATGCTATAAAAATAAAATTTTATATCAATGGAAAGCTGAATGAAGATAAAATCATATCAAGGAATCAGAAAAAAAATTCCCCTACAGTATTGTACGTAAGCTAATTGAAATTGAAAGCCCATTTTTCCCACCCCCTCCAGATTACGGGTCAACACGGGTCAAATGTACATTTGTAAGATGAAGTCAACAAGTTGAAGCTTTAGAATTCGATTTTTGAGTTTTTAGCGAACTGTACTCCTCTTACAGACACTAAAATAGATATACAGGTGTAATTGAAATTGTTGTAAGCTATGGCTTACCAGCTTTCCGTTGATGAATAATTCATCTATTTCATTTTTATGCCTCAGTTACAAAGTCTTTAATATATATTTTATATTCCAGATGAAGATTTATTTGCCAAAAAAATAGTTGTTTTAATTTTCTCTTTTCCTTTTTTTTCTTGCATGTTTCTCCATACAGCCTGACAGTCCATATCAGAGTGGCGTGTTTTTCCTTTCAATTCACTTTCCTACAGATTACCCCTTCAACCTCCCAAGGTAAAAATGAATGCACAACATTGATTTCTTACATTTAACAGACTTTAAATGGGTTTTGACTGTAAAGGTATTATGTTACTTTGCAAGATGATGCTTTTCAAGATGATAAGTCAAATTCAATGCATTTATTGGATATTTTTCAGAGTGTGACGGTAATCTATTTCATATCAGTTGGTATGATGTACATCCCCAACATAACCTTTTTTTAAAGTTATCTTTGATTTAAGGCCAGATTTGGATATGATTTAAAGACCCACTGTACTACTTTTAACTACTTGCTCCCTCCCTCTTCGGAAGAAATAGAACCAAATAATATTTGGTTCTATCATAGTTTGGCTTTACGAAGCAGTTTACATTTAAAAGTTACATTTATCTCAGTCTAAGCAATAAGTATTCATGAAATGTTTTTATAGGTATGAAATGAAGAATGCAAGTACATCTTTACAAGGAAACACAGTATTACATTTTTGATAAAATCTCTTTCTTACCCATAGGTTGCTTTCACAACAAAAATCTACCATCCAAATATAAACAGCAATGGCAGCATCTGTCTAGATATCCTCAGATCACAGTGGTCCCCAGCTCTCACTATTGCAAAAGGTATGTATTCACGGCTCTCTCCCAATTTAGAATCGTACGTATCTTTTTGTCCATGAAGTCCTTCAAATACTCTTGATATTTGGACATGGGTTGATATTTGGACTTGATAATCAAGAGTTAAGGTGATGCCTTTATGATTTTAGTGACTTATCCTAAAGGGCTGTCCATCTGTTTTCAAGAATATGATGTAAATGGCTTTGTGGCTCCAGACATAAAAAACAACAAACAATTTACTTTCTAAAATGTGATTATCGGCGAAGGACTGTAGAATTAGACATTTGAACTTTGCACTCTCTTACTCCTAGCGTCATTTCCGTTATCGGTCACGTAGGACCAGCCCCTTTCCTTCCCACCAAGTCTACAGTATGTCATGTTGGTATATTTAAAAAAAAATTATTTAGAAATTATCTTTTTTTTGTTTTTAGTTTTAATGGCATGTATCGTTCATTTATGAATATTTACGCCGATTTCAAGTTGCATTAAAATTTTGAAATGGAAGCAGAAAAGAGAGGGGGAAAAAATTGACACTGTTCAATTGTTTGCATTTTGTGGAGATTCCAGACAGGCTGTCTTCATAAAATCATTGACCGTTTTGTATGTATCTTCTGGCCAGCCCGGTTCGGTACATTGAACAGGCTTCTCGGCTTGCATGTTCATGCATGTAGCTGTTGCTCCAGACTGCTTGTTATATTTTAACAAGGTCTATAGAGTTCATGATCAATTTATCAAGTTGCAGCACTGATATTGCAGAGCTCACATGCAACTGCATGCAGATATAGTCGATGACTTTCTTTGATTTTGTCTTTACAGTACTCCTATCGATCTGCTCGCTGCTAACCGACCCTAACCCTGATGACCCCCTCGTACCAGAAATTGCAAACACCTACAAAAAGGACAAAAGAAGTACTTAACATATGCAAAGGAATGGACTCGGAAATATGCCATGTGACCTCACTACTTTACAACATTTTTTCAACGTTAAGGTGAGAAGAAGACTATTGATTGTAAAGAAATACTAAATAATCTGTAAGTATAAAACATGGCTATTCTTACTGTGAACTATGTTACAAAACATACATTTCTGAGTGACTTTAAAAAAAAAAATCACATGTGTAACATTAGAGAATTATATGAAACTTGCAGCGTAGCGTGCCATGGAGCAGATTTTGCCATTCTGAGCAGAAGTGATAATTCTTTGTAATAGAAGAATTTAGAGCCGTATGTTAATTGTGTTATAGAATGTGAATGTGTGGACCTTTGTAGTTCAATAAATTTGCTCAAGTATAAATTAGGTGACTAAAGATTGTTAAGTTCTCAAAGAGTTTAAGCGCATGTATGTCTTCCTCATTTCAACCAAGGCTCAAACATGCACGCTGATGCTACCCCTGCACAGCAAGGGGTCACAGGGGCCGACATTTTAAAATGAGCGATCAAGTTTTGAAATGGAGAATCGTCTTTACACCCTTATAAGGTTTTTTTTAGTAGCAAACAAATATGGAAATAGTATACAAATAGTGAATGGTCATGAGTGCAATGGTACAAGATTTTGCACGAGGTGAAAGATAAGAGACGCTATATTCAACGAGGCGCAGCAGAGTTGAATGGAGCGTCTCATCTTTCACCGAATGCAAAATATTGTTCCATTGCACGAATAAAGACCATTCACTATTTGTTTTATACAACAACTCGGACGTTAACGGGCTTAAAACAGTTTTCCAAGGCCTAAATCTCAGCGATTTGTTTGTTTGTTTTCAATACATGAAATTGCTGATAGTGAGCGGGCACTATTAAGCAGGCAGCAAAACACGCGCGGAGCATGGTACGCGCGTGGTTTGCTGCCAACCTTTATGTTTATTGTTACGCGGAGTGCAATTTCGTTTGATCCTTTCGCACCATTGCACTCTGACGTCACTTAGCTCACCATATACTTTGTACATCGTTAGTGACGTCAGAGTTAGTGCTGTAGTCAAACGTTTAACCGTCCGGTATCCGACCGCCCATGGCGGATTCCGTTTTCAATTGGACGGTTTCGTTTTCCTGTTTTTTTAAATTTTTTTATTTTTTTATTTTTTTTATAATTTGTTTTTTTTTAAAGTTTCGATTTATATATGCCCCTCCACCTGTTACTATGCCTGGCAATGTCTACCAGCTCAGTAATCTGTGCGTTGACTCACCACTCCGAAACTAGAACAACACTCCAATTTGTCTGTCATCTTGGTTTGAGAGTAATCTTTGTAATAGATCTCAATATGTAGTTTATAATAATAATTCATCCAACTTTTACACACGGCGTACCACAAGGTTCTATCCTAGGTCCTCTAATGTTTTTAATTTACATTAATGATCTTACACATTCTTCTAAATGTTCTTTTAAATGAATATCCTTCCCGCATGGGTTTTTTTCACAGTCGGTCAAAAAAACAACTAAAAAAAACGATTTTTATTTTTTTTTTTTTTAAATCGTTTAACCAAAAACAGTCCGGCGATGACTGGCGGTTAAACGGAATTGGAGATATCCGTGATGTTACAGCACTAGTCAGAGTGCAATGGTGCGAAAGGATCAAACGAAATTGCACTTTGTGTCAATGATGCCGTTCAATGGTACTTTTAGCGCATGTCATGTGATCAAGAATTGACCAATGAGGTTGCAAGAATCTTAGTAGGCGTTGTATAAAAGTAATGAACTACTAGTAGATGATTATCTACACACATTGTATATTCCAATATATGAAGTGTGTTGTGTTAGCAAAGCACACACAGAAGTGAGTATTCTTTGACTTGTTTACCATTTGAGCTGCTGATGGACTTACTGCTTAGACTTACTTTACCTACATGTACATGACTATGAATATTTATAGATATAAAATGGGTTCTAGAATGTAGGCAATCTAATTGGTCAAATGACAACCTGTGACCACTCCTTCCTACCATGCCTACAAATTAAAAAATTGTTTTTGTATGATATATCACCCTCAACAGGCCTGATAAAACCCTGATTTAAATCGGTTTCCTGATTTTTACCAGATTTTTTTTCTTCTTCCCTCTTTTATCCTGATTTTACCTATTTCCCCGTTATTTTCTCTTATCTTCCCTATTTTGTCCTATTTTTTCCCCAATTTTCTTACTCGAAAGGGGGAATGTTGTTAGATTCCATTTTTTCCCCGCGAATCCTCTTCTCTTTTTTTACTCAAGGGGGGGGGGGGGGGGGGGGGGGGGGGTGGAGGGGTGTGGTTGAGGGGAAAACAAAAATCCTATTTTTTTTTTTTAGTGCTCACTATCATGCCGTCAATCTAGTACCGGTAATGTTTATTCGGTGGTTGAGTTTCCTTTTTATGAAACGCAGTTTACCACATATTGAAGTTCTTTTTCATGAAATAAGAATATTTTCAAATTAATGAATCAATGTCTTCATCTCTTCACAGGAGAGGAGTGCCCGAAGCAATATATCGATGAGAGATTTGTCCTGCTTTGACTGCACTGCAACCTCATAATCCAAGCCAGAAGCAATCAAAGGTCAAAGGTCAAAGGACGTCTGGTTATCAGAGACAATGATCATAGAATATTTAGGATCTTACTCCAATTTGCTTCTCCCCTTTCATTCTTTTTTTTTTTTCCTTATGTAATGATTTAATGGACTATGTCTCTGTGTCAGAAAATGGGAGTGGATGAAGCAAGGAGATAAACATTTGCAGCATTTAGGAGATATTGCAGGAAGAGTAAATCATCAGATAAAAACTTATGGTATATACTGTTTATGTGAAAGGAAACATTTCCAGGCTAGATCTATAAAACTTTTTTTTTTCGACCGTGAACTTTGATATGAACTTCCTCGACACATTTATGTATATATATATCTGTATATATTCATAGTTTTTATGATCAATTTTAGCCCATCTGTAGAGTCAACTAATAGACAATCAAGTGTAGATGTTTCAGCAGTTCACATGCATTTGTGACCTTTTGGGGTCATAACAATGAACTGATTCGGACCAAAAGCCCTTCGGCCTTGTCTCATGGGCTTTAAATATGCAGTGTAGATGGGATTAAAAATCATGGAACATTATACCAAGCCCTTTAAATGTAATAAAGTTTACTAGGAAAAACAAACTTGTGTTGGTTGTAGACAGGACAGAGATCCTCCCCCTCTTCCCCCCCCCCCCTCAAACAGGTTAAATTTGACTGAAGGGGCGAGGCCAAGGGGTAAATTGATTAGATTCCTTCAGATCTTGGCCAACAGAATGATGAAAGCTAGCAAAAACATCTAGAGACTAGAGCATCTTGAATTTTTCCATGAATTGTCAAATGTAAACTAAGCAAAAAGCAAAAAGAAAGTTGGGAAACTAAAGTTTGATTGATATCTCTCGATTTATTGTGTCGCTTTATAGAGGAAGATACCATGCATTCAGCAACTCTATGTCACTGCATCCGCTACAGCATAAGATTTGTTATTTGTGCTCTACCAGCAATATTCCATGACAGATTGATATGCCTCTACAAATCGAAGGGGGGGGGGGGGGGTGCCGTAGGCAAGTTTTGGTTGGGGGGGGGGGGGGGGTGTCCTCTCGTCCTGCTTTTCCTGTAATTGCAATATGATATCCTGAAATTTGAGTTATGAACATCAAATTTGGTGATATTATAGATAACTTAAAGAAGGTCATCCAAGTAGATTTGGAGATAAGTAGGTCAAAGTATGAAGCTCACAGAGGCCGATTTCTATAAAAAAAAAAATGAAAGTTTTTAGCCTAGTTATCACACTATCTGAAGTAACATTATAGAAAATACAAATTTAAACATTGGTGACAGTATGTATCACCATGGAAAGGCAAACTAATAAGATTTTAAGGTTATTATAATTAGGTCAAAGGTCGTAGATGTCAATGTACATTTATTTTGTTTGTTTTGGCCTCATTTCAATATTTCACGGACTATACTTCATGGTATCAGTATATAGGGAGATCAACTAATAGGTCTAGGGATAATTTGGTCAAAGGTCAAAGATCACAAAGTTCAATCAGTGATATGAAAGCGCGACGCTGCAAAATCACCCTGAAAATCATGCTTTGTTCAGTGCACACAAATGGAATAAAGGAAATGGACAGGTTTCCATGTTTAAAAAAAAAAAATACAAAGATATAATAAAATAAGTGGTATGATCCAATCAAACTCAAGTTTCTTAACTTTGTTTTGCCAACTTTTTGAAATCATTGCTAAGAGACTATTTCTACCCCGGCCCCCCCCCCACTCAGGTTTCAAAATGACCGCATGCGTGTTGCCAAAATGTCCTTTTCGTAACAAAAGAAAAAGGTCGAGCCGTATTGACTTTACACACCGGACTTTTGCTGAAAAGGGGGGGATGCTGAAAAAGGCTCGTATACAAAAGAAAAAGGTCGAGCCGTATTGACTTTACACACCGGACTTTTGCTGAAAAGGGGGGGTCGGTGGAACACGCATATGCGTACCCTAAATAACACTGAGTGGGGGGGCCGGGATTTCTACATCCACAAAGTTGGCTTTGCCAGAAAGATAGAGGAAAATCATCTATTTTCCAGATCATTGATACATGCTGTAGACATGAATGAGGAATACATACAAAGAAGCTTGGTCCTAAAAGGATAGCTTTTATGCCTTAACTTCACATTTGTACTTGTTATATATATGCTATGTAGTTCTGTTTCTTTTTATGTAGTAAAGGGTCCTAAAGCTATGCGGGTCCTTAAGCTACCCACCCGCAAATATGCCCAAGGCTACAAACTTCTGATATGACTGAGTATCAAGAATCTCGGTGAGGTTGCCAAAAAGAATTAGTAATTTTTCTATATTTTGCTGTAAAATTATCTTTGTTTACAACTGGGTCGAAATTCCTAACCATTAGCTTTAGAATCAAGATTTGAATAT